ACCTGCGGGGAGCTCTGCAAAAAACGCATCTTCGCACGGGCAGCCCGTGCGTTGGCCATTTATTAGCTTTTACCAGTGCCCACGTCTCGCACTCAAGCCTGACTTTTTTTTTAACACTGTAATAGTGCTGAATTTGGCCTGTTTATTTCGCATTGACCTCTAGGTATACTGGTACTGCTGTGAAATGTGCGCAGTTCAGTAGTCCGCTAATGAATAATCTCAGGATGGAAGTGGGAGCACATTCATTTTCTGATCAGATAAGTTAAACTTCTTGCAACCATGACCCCTTCAACTGGCCATGAGTACAACGACACGCTGCAATCCTTTGTTTTCGATGCGCTGATTTTGAAGCCCACTTCCTTATTCATGCATCAAACTCCTGCACCAACGCCTCGCATGCGTTTGTTCGACTCTTTGTCACTGATGTCCCTGCCATTTGTTTAGTTCTGCTTGAAAAAATATCAGACCCGTTACAAACAACGAAAAACCACAGTACTGAGTGATCATTTATTTTTCTGCTCAGTTACTAATTAGCGCACTAAAGCACAACAGGCGAAGGATGTTATGCTGACTGGTCAGTTTCTGTTTGGTCCCTTAATTACCGCGATGTTTTCCCACCAGTCCATTTTAATGTCTATATCGTAGGATTCGGTTTAATGATAACGGATACCTAAACTGAAAGGATGAGCAGTCAAAACTGGCCTCTTCTTCCGAAGCAAAAAACAAAAAAAATTTATAGCATGGATAAGATTTAGAAGATACGGACAAACGGTCAAGTCAGACAAAAGGCAATTTATTAATCTAAAAACCTGACCTTTGACATTCACGTCGAACGTTTGCACCACTTCTCCATATTCATTCTTGATTTTGACAGCGTACTGGCCAGCATCATTTCTGCTCACCTTGCGCTTGCAGAAGCGTACCGTGTCGTTGAAAATATCCAATTGCACTTTCAAACTGCTCGGAATTTGTTCGCCGTTGAAGAGACATTCCAGCACTGGCTCTGGCACTGCCTTGAAAGGTACTGTCAACACCAAGTTCTCCTGTGATTCCAGCTCAACAGTTGGTGGTAGAAGTTCGGCTTCTTGAATTATTGGGAATCCTTCTATGATCAGTACGGTTGACGTTTCCGCCGAATCCACTCTAACCGAATAACGACCGGCTTGATCATAGTTGACGTTCTTGATAAGCAAACTGAGTTTGTCATCTTCAGCTACAGTTTCGAACTGATCGCTAATTTCGGATAAAGGTTGGCTGTCGAAAAACCATTGGACGTTCTGTGTTGGATGCGATACAGTTATCGATAGTTTTACAGTATCACCCATTTTGCCAGTACTCTTGCGTGGCAGCTTTTCAGTGATTTCAGCCGGTGTATCGTCAACAATCAAACGCGATTCTGCGTAATGCTCATTGACGTTCGCTGTGACGATCGTTTTAGTATCTTCGGGCACAACTTTTTCAATCTGCAGGATTCTCATGTAACCATCCACGATTTCGATGCATCTAGCGTCGTCCGATGCCGGTCTTCCATTAATTGTCCAAATCAGTGTATCACTTTCGTCGAACAGTTCACATTCAATTTTGACCGTATCACCCCGGAATGCGAGAATTTCTTGTTCTGGCGGAATGGCAAAGCCATTGCGACGCTTGCGCAATTGACGCATACTCGGGGCACCTTCATCGCTAGAGATTGTTGATGAGGCCGCCGAAGTATCTGGCACCTTTTCAAATTTCATGGCTTCTTCTAGTTGCGGCATTTCCTCCTCAGAAACGAGTGCCATCCTGAGGGCTAATTCAACATCAGCACCTTCTCTCGCTTCTTCCTGCGCTTCTTTCACTTTAATCTGATACTCAGCAACGACTTCGGAGTCTACGGGTCCTTCCACTTCAAGTATTTTAGCTACCTCTTCAGGTATTTTTTCAGTCGGCTTTGCCAACTCTTTTTCTAATTTCGCTTCATCTTCACTTGGCTTTCCTTTTAATTCTTTACTGTCTAAAGGCAGCTTCTTCTTTACTTTTGATTTTTTCTTTTTTGGAACTTCCTTTTCGGCCACAGCACCTTCCTCACCACTTATAACTTTTGTGAGGGATATATCAGCCCCCGCTTCCGCAGGTAACAGCAGATCTTTCTCTTTTGTTTCATATTGTTTCTCCTTTTCTTCAAGAAGTGCTTCCTCAACTCGTTGCTTTTCGACTTCTACTTTTACTGGTTCCGAAATCTCCAGTCCCTCCAGAATCAGCCGCTGCTGATATTTAGTTTCCTCTGCAGAAATTTCCGCTGTTTCTGCTAACTCTGCAGGTTTTTCCACAACTGAAATGACCTCTTTCTGTTCCTCTTTACTTGGTTTCTTCTTCGCAGCTTTCTTTTTCTTAATTACAGGTTCCTCTTCTTTTTGCGCCGCTTCTTTAACTTTTTCAGCAATCTTTACAGTTTCGGCAACTTCTACTTCTTTTTCTTCTTCTTTCGTGATTTCGCCGACTTCCAGTTCAACAGCAATCTCGGCAGCCTCCTCTCGCTCTTGTTCAGGATGCTTGCTAGGGACCTTTTTGTACTCTTCATCTTCTTTAGCCTCAGTGATTGTTTCTTCGACTGGTTTTGCCAGTTCTTTTGATATTTCCTCTTCTAATTTTACAAATTCTTGTCCTTCCTCACCAATTTTTTCTGGAGCTTCCTCTGCCCTCTTTGGCTTTTCAGGCACCTCTTCCACTTCTTCAACTGTCACAGCGGTGCATATGGATGGAAATTCGACAAAATCACCAATTCCATATTTGTTAATTGCAGCTATGCGGAATATATATTCGGAATCGGCGTCAAGCTCTTCAACCAAGCAGCTCGTCCTATCATTTTTTAGCTGCAAGTAAATACTACTCAAGGCTCTGCTAAACAAATGTAATAAACAAAATTTACATATTCGTGATGAAACAAAAAACGTCAAAAGCTGACTTCCTACATTTGCTTTTCTCAGTTAAAGGTGTTAGTTGCTGTACTTGTCTAGAAAGCGGTACACAGCCAAGAGACTGCAATGATCATCTTTTATTATAACAAATTGTTCTTTATGCACATTCAGTGAGGGAACAAGTTCCATGTTACTCAGCCTGAAATTTCCAGCTTTTCCCACAAGCGCTTTTTTACTCTAAAATAATGGAATTTTCGCAGACACTTGCAAGAAGCATGAATGTTGGATAATATATTTGTCAAGGAGATTGCCACCAGAAGACACAGCACTGCCCGAAGTAGCTGGAAGACGTTCAGTTAGAATAACTAGATTATAAACTGCAGCTGATTTAAACATTCAAGTAATAAATCTAATCGCAAGAAACAGCTCGATGAACTGTGAAGCTAGCGCACAGAACGAATATGCAAAGCTGCCTTTCGCTGCTTTACCTGAATGACACGACGGAAAGCTCGGCGATTAATTTCTTTCTTTTCCACAACATAGCCAACAATTTTACTTCCACCATCATCTTCTGGAGCGCTCCAGTCCAAAAGTACAGCGTCGCTACTCACTTCTAGGACACGTGCATTTGTTGGGGCATTTGGTACATCTGAAAACTATTAGCCGAATTCGAACCAAATAAATGTGATATAAGCAGGTCATTAAAACTCTACTGCAATGAAATCGGCAGCAGACTACCAACTTAAACAACTTTTGTCACTGTTTTTCATCCCAAAAATGCATGCAAGTGAGAATATGTGATCGTTTTGCGTGAGACTGTGTGCCCGCTTGCTTGTTTGTATAAATATTTATTTCAGTTTTGGAACTATGTAAGCTCAAGGTCCACAAAAGGCCTTAATACGCACTTAAGTCGTCCTGTGCTCTAAACTTTTATTTTAGCTAAAATTTAATAACTTCAAAATTAGAAAGGTTGGAAAAATGAAATCCTGAAAACGAGCTCTGCAGCTGTGCGTATCATTGAAAATCTAGCTAATTTTCAGGTAGGCCTATGCCTAGCTGCCTACGATGATGACCAAATCCAGGCAAATTTTATAACTCAGAAATCAAAGAAATATGCTTGAAATTTTTGACAATAAGTCTCTGATTTTGCAAGGTAGCACACAAACAAAATCAAGTCATATCTCTTTCTCTGTTCATGGCTTTGTCAAATGTAAGGCGCGCAGCTCGAAAAAGAATAAAGCTACTAACTCAATATTTTAAGGATTAGCTGCGCACGCAGCGCTTCAAGAAATGTAATGCATGACAACCAAATTGTTCAAATCTTTTGGCATACTCCCACTCGCACGGTTAGGCATCCAGCAATCGCACTTGAATCCTGGATCAGAGTGAAGAAATCACTCTCATGCGCTTCGGTTATGGACGACGTGCCATGTAGTTGAGAGTTCTTCGTTTTACCTCTTTTTACTATTACATCACTTTGTTTTTCACATCTTTATTTTTTCTTGCTGCAAGCACACACCCTTTTGCTATGCAACTGACTTCACAACAAACCAAGCGGGCTCTTCATTTTCGTTCCTTTTTAGGAAGCTGCTAAAACTCGGCTCCGTCCGGCTCGACTGGGTTGGAGTGTGAGTTACAATGACTGGCGATGGGAGTAGAGAGGTGGAAGCGGGAGATTCAGATTGCGGGCCGAGGTGATGATTTAGCTCTCTGGGGGTGGTAACAAGGGAGGGGGAGCGGGGTTACTGACAGGAAGGGAGCTGAGGACCTTGCCTGGAAACAGGAGCGAGATTTATGGGCTTTCTATGCTTAGCATGAAACTTTATGCTGACGGGACGTTAGCAATGTTGGACGCGACACCCACAACCTCACCTAAATAAACGACTCGACACTACGACTCCCGGAGCTCGAACCTGAACCCACAAATGGGTGAACAGTTGCGCGGCCGAGCACAACCCATTTGCGCACATATCATAAAAACAACAAATTTTTGTGAGACTATACGTTTGTCTGTGCATGTGTGAATGTGTCTGTCGCGAGTTTTCACTCCACGACTACGAAATCTGTGAGGCTTTTTGGAGCTTTATCCCAGGCTTTATACGCAGAGTCAGATTTCATGCCCTGACGTCTGATGAGCTAGTAACGTGCCGATACAGCTGTAAGCATGCCGTTCAACATCCAGTCCTTGTTCAGTACGAGCACACTATCGAGAAATCGAACATTTCTCGAGAAAAAATTGCAAGCGGGTAATTGCTGTCGGAACATTGCCGATGTTCATTTGCAGGCACCATCCGTCGACGATGATACATCGCTCCCAAAAAGGATTTGGTATCGCCATTTGTTTTCTAGGAAGCGCTTAGGTATTCCATCCCGCACTCTCCATTTAATCGGTCTAACATAACTCCGGGTGGTGCCACCAGTCGGTGGCTACCTGTCTTTTTATGCGTTTTTTGCAGCTATGCAATGCAGAAAACGCATATTGATGAGAGGTTGTCTGTGTGCTCGTCTGTACCGATTTTTCATCTCGAGACCGGCAAAAGCTACGGGGCTGAAACTT